GTCGGCTCGGTAACCGCACCGGAGCCAGTGTGAGCAAGGGGTGAGATGGGCTCTAGCTGGTTAGGGAACAGACAGGGGCTCAGAACTGTGAAGATGATGACTGGCAAGAGGTCCAAGGGGAATTTCCAGAGCCCGCGGTCATAGATGTATTTCAGGGTAAGAGCCGGGTGATCCGAGGTCCACAGAAAATCTAGAGGGAAATCCAAGGCAGAGTCAGAGCACAGATCCATGTCTGGTAACAGGCAGACTTACAGATCAGACAGGGGTTAGGCTGGCTCAGATAATCAGAAGAAAGAACAGGTCAGGCAAACCGGCAGGAAGTTAGGAACAGAACGCTGGAATAAATCTCACCAATGGCTAGAAATAATCTGGCTGGTTATATAGTGATGGGTGTAGGTGGATCAAATGAGTGGTAACGAGAAGAGGGCGGAGCTGAGCAGGTGTGTTTTGTGAGGAATCATTGTGAGAGATCATGACACCCTCACTATCCTCTGTATGGGCTTGTGCAGCTCTGCAGCACCACAGAGAGGCAATTTAATGTAATATAATTCAGCAATCTACTCAGAGGAGCTAAACTGCTGCATGGTTTTTGATGCTATTGGCTGAACACTGGTCTTAACCTCCAATGCTGTCTATCATTTTGCTTTGCTGCTTCCTTACCTGTTTTCCCGTGTTTGACTTTCTCCCTTTACACTGATTCCCATAAATGAGTCTAGCTAGTATTGGTATCAACTACGGATGGAATTTTTTTTTTAACATTTACATTGGGCTGCAGGCAACCCAGATGGATCCCAGGTCTAAGCTTGATCAAGTCAGAGATGTTCTTGTTCCAGAAATAGGATGTTTAAGTCCAGATTTGCAGACTGTGGCTTCTAGTGATGAAGTTGTATAGATTGTGCTTAGCAGGAGTTGTTAATGATTTCTTCTAGTCTTTGGATTGGTAAAGCAGATCTGATTCCCTAACATTCTTAAAGTTTAACCTCTTTTGTTGGAAAAATAAACCAAGATCCCCTCAAACGTAAAGGTAAAAAAACATAGATAATATATATAATATAGGTGTAGACCCC